TACGTCCAATGGATGATGATCTGATTAGTCGACTAATCGCAAAAATAATCGGTGACTAGTCGACTATCAAAATAATCGTTTGTGGCAGCCCTAGTGATCTTAAATAGTTTGTACAGTAAAACGACTCTAATAATCAGTGAAATCTGTTGTTCTTTAAGCTTGCAAATTTCTGCCAGTTATCAGAATCCAGGTATTTTCACATGTTGGTGGAGTTTTATAACCACCCTCTTGAGACAAAAGCTTGAGCTTCACACGGCTCTGAATGCCATAACGAGTGGAATATTGCTTAATATGGTCATCCCAGGTATTCCGGTTGTAACCCCAATCCACCTGTTGTTCGAAAGTGGGGAACCAATTGGAAGTAAGGAAGAGGAGCTAAAATGGCTCGTTTCAGACAGGATGAGCTGAGTGACTACACAAAGGCTCTGTATAAGATTAAAAAATATTAATAAGTGTGAGTCCTACAAAGCTGTTCTACTAGAGCCAAAAATAAGTATAATTGGCCCCTTTTTAAAATAACTGTCTAAACACTTATAAAAATGACTCTAAAGCAGTTATTTCATAGCAGATAATCAGGGATTACTTTGTTTCTTTCTGTTTTACCCATCTACAATAACTTTTTTTTTTTTTTCCCCCTTCTTTCCATGCATGCAGAATGAGACCGATGACAATAGATGACCCAGCCTATCCCTTCTTGGCTTTCTCTGGAATTCCCTCAGTCTCCTTTCACTTCATCAAACCAAATGTGAGGGGTGGTTCATTTATATATTTAAAACAAACAAACAAACAAAAAAAAAGTCTGCTTGTCGTTTTAAACATTAAGCAAACCGTGATGTGTATTGAACTGTCTGTATGTTTCTCCACTTAAGTCTGAGGTCTACACTTATTATGGCACTCAATTGGACACCATGGACCAACTTAACTATGAAACCAACAATCAAACCAACGAGATCACGGCGATAGCAGCGCAGTTTGCTGGTCAGATGGCCCTGCACCTGGTTCATGACCACCTGCTGAGCTTGGATGTGAACCGGTACAGCAAAACTCTCACCAAGGCTGTGGCGGGCGTCTACAAACACATCCGGCTGCTCTCGCAGGTTGGCGTCTTCCTGACTGTTTTTGTTTCATTTTTTCTCCATGTTATGAATTTCATGTGATTAAGAATATTTGTTTTGTCTGGTGAAGGATTTGAGTCCCAGCTGGTTGAACCGTGCACGAGGCTCCTTCCAGCGTGCTGCCAGTAACCTCTACAATGACATTGCCAACACCAACTTGGATGACAAAGAAGCCTGTCGAATCCTCAACAACAGGATCATGATGGTAATGCATGTATTACAAGACCTCTGCTGGGTCGTGTGTTGTAATTTAAAAAAACTATACATTTTGAAAATACTTTTCTGCTCCGTACCCCTCATTTGTTCAGGTTTGCTGAGCCTCAATCTAATTTGTCTCTCCCCTCTCATTCCTAATTTTTGTAAGTTGTAATACCTAAAGCTCAACTGTGAGCTTGACGAGCATGCAAAACATCTGTGGCCCTAGTTTTCCTCTTTTACTAAAAGAGGAAAACTAAGGCCACATGGAATTGTAAGCTCAGTCAGTTTATAGATGTCACAGATGCTGACAGACCAAACTTCATTATGAAGCTTGGCGTCTGTGTTGCAGTGCTGTGCTCGCATCAGAAAATGTTGGTTTACACAAGATTGTCATTAACCAAAAGCTCAGACATGCCATTTTGTTACTTAGCAGAAGAGTTTTAAGTTCAAACAAACAAAACAAAAAAACTACAAGATGCTGGATTTTGTATTTTAATTACAAAAAAAACTAGTGATGTGGTTTGACCCAACTTAAAATATTGTGCAAAAAATCTTGAGCACAATATTCTAAGGTTCCTTGCTTTATATTTTGATAGAAGAAATGGTAAGTGGGTGCATCGATTTATTGCAACGTGCAAACATGCATGGCATGGAAATGCATGCAATCTACACAAGTGGCCGACGTTGTTTTATGGCACCTTATCTGTTAGTTACTGTGTAGTGACGTCCTGGTGTCTTATATTCCAGCTGATGGAAATGAATAAAAAGCTGGGACTCTTTTTCTACACCTAGTCTAGCATTCTTTTCTGGATCCACAAGGAAAAAATCAGCAAGAGCTATTCTGTAGTTACTAATTATGTGAATTTTTGTTTTTTAACTAAAGGTTGAGCACAGCCTCCTCTCCCCATACGTCTCACCTGTTAAGGTTCCCTTCCGTCACCTACTGTTTGGCCGAGGCTCCCACACTCTGGCGTCCATTGCTGAGACTACTGACGTGGATGAACTCCACACCCAGCTGGCCTTAGCCACCTGGAACTTGCAGGGATGTGCCAATGCCATGGTGGGAAACATCTGGGACCTCGATGAAGAAATTTAAATTGGTGGGACGCAGAGATGTGAGGGTGGGAGTTGTGTGTTTGCATGTGTATTTTTTGGAAAGTAAATCATAGCGCTCCAATATCAGCACTTAAAAGCACAAGCCGTTAATCAGAAACCCCAACCTTTGTTATAGGCTCAGCTCAGATTTCAGGGGAATTCAAATCAATTCCACAAATAGTCTCGAAGAGGACAGTGTTAAAGTGTAGGGCTGAAAACTGTGAACAAGGATTACTTGAAGAAATGAAATGCTACTGACAAATCCACCTCCTCTCAAGTAGACTCGAAGCTCTTGCTGCGACCACTTGCCATCAAAGCACTAAAAGACCTTATATGTATTTGGTTTTTTTTTGGTTTTTTTAATTATTTATCAGTGGCAGTGTCCACTATAAAGCTGTTTGTCTTTTTATACGACATTATCGGAAGCAGTGTCTTCCATAATTATGACGGTTATACTGTCGAAACCTACGGCAGTATCTGCTACAGAAATGACTCCAAATGTTGCTGGGAAAAAAA